ATTTCTGTTTGTTGCATTGTGTACATCGCCAATATACTTTATTTTCATGAGTACGTTCTTGAATGTAATCAAAACAGTTCTCAATCAGAACCGGCTTGTCTTTTTCAGTTTGAGAAAATAAAATGGACATGATGTATTCGTATTTTCAATGTGATCTATATGATGGTGAATTTTGAATGCCTGTAAATTGATAACGTCTTCTTATTCTCACTCGTTTTAATACTCTCAAGGAAAATTGATCGACGTGCATGCACATGACCGTCTGTTCTCATAATTGTCTTACACACAACAGTCATAGACCCTATGAAACAAACCGTTTCAATGTTATCGGGTGTCATCATTGAATACGTGCGACAGTACTTCGAATATAGAGGTCTGTTTCGATAGTACTATTGAAGATGAATGCACTTCTAATATTACTTTGACGTCTTTCTAAACTTGCTAATGAATTATTTATTGTCTATTGAAAAAAAAACAAAAGGTTTTATTTTAAATAATCTGACCAAATATAGTTCTTTTGGAATCGCTGCTAGACAAGGATGGAAGGTCAGTGTTCGTCATGGCTATAATGTTCCTCCTGACGTCTATTCATATATTTTCTACCATAACTATTCATTCATAGAAATTCAACTGTCTTGTATAACGATTGTCTAAATTCTGGTAAGAAGATAATTTCTTCCCAACAAAGAACCAGTGAAAACCGAGTGGAAGGTTATTTTATTTGATTACAATAGATTCTTCAATTCATAGAACTTTATTTTATCTGACAGCCCCGTGTTATTGATAAGATCTCTCGTGCAAAACCAATCTATTATGCGATGAAGTTATAGAAAAGAGAAATATTTAATTATTTCTAGCTTAGCCTCATCTCTGGATTAGTGTCCTACACAGACACGCTTTTTCACACACAAACTCAGACCGAAGTTAATCGATGCCCTACAGATACTTTTATAGTGACAGTGCAGTTTTCAAACTTTTACTTTACATAAAAAAAAAGGCACTGTTTAGTTTTTTCCATAAACAGCAACAAAAGAAACAGATCATCTTAAATTCGCACAAAAGCAAGCGATTCAGGATTCACTTGATGTCTTTTTACTTCTACAATCCGATCAATTTCGCTAAGTATTCGTTTGCTTGTTACTGATGACGCTAGAATAGAACGCAATGTTGGTGTTAAATATCATAATTGTGAATACGTACGTGAGTGCTTCTTCCATCACGATAATACGTGTTTATCTTTTTAGTCGTTCATTTTCTATTCCGTATTTTTAATCATTTTGAAATATGCTTTTTCGTCATCTGTAGACGAATTTTCACTACAAACGAACTCTTTTCGTAAAACCATTTTGTTTTCTCGATCATGATCGAACCAGTTTTTATTCCTATGTATTTATATGTATACCAGTTTGAAAAAGTAAAATTATTTTGAAATGTTCAGATTTCATACATTGCTGAATCGGGTGCCGGGTACTCGACCTAATTGCAGAACACTACTTCGAGTAAATCATCCATTCAACATCAATTTCATTTTCGATTATTGGTTGAAATTGAAACATGTCTAACATGATTTTTATCATAATAGTTATACCAGTGATAAAAAAAATGTCTTAGAATGATTCCTTTGACAAAATGCACTTATGAAAAGTGCTTGCAAAACAACTGATGAGAATCGTATAAAATGTCAAGGTCTTCGAAAGATAATTTGTATGGAATTAACAGATCCAATGACTTTTTTATTTTAATGCCAGTGATTCTTCCTAGATCCAATTACTCGATCATTTTACCAAGATTTGCATGCACTGATACATCCGCACATGAAGAAAAGAACCATATTTTATAAGATATGAAAACAAAAGTACGATAGTTCATTAAATGATAATATAGTTCAATTTATCGAATATTGGTAGATATTGTAATGCCTGAGAAGTGCATTGCATTATCATATTGTTGCATCTATTAACTAAAAGGTTCTTTGTATATGGCTATTTGTTCCAATAATTTGATTTTTTTTAATTATTTTTATTCGTGCGTTCCTACGTTAGCCAAACGTTTTAAAACACATAATAAATATCAATTTTCCTCAATTTAGGCAATTTTGTCGATTATTAGCGTATAATGAGAATAAAAAATATGTATTCAAGGTCATTTGCTTATTCAACCATTCAAAGAATAAGCGTATGAACATTGAATTCACGTAATTCTAAATATCTTAAACATTTTTTTATTATCTTACAACGTATTTTAAATAAATTTATGCAAGTAGTTCAAACACACATTTTTCAATCTACAAAAAAAAAATCTTTCTTGTCAATTTTTTTTTCTAGTATTATATAGAGAAAAAAAAGACATTCATAAACATGTCTCTAGTGGATAATAATCCATTTTAAATCAAAACGTGTTTAGACGCATAATCCAATGATCATATCTTATGATAATAAGAATGTATTTTTGCCGCAGAAAAAACAACGCAAAAAGGACTCTTCAGTGCTTTACATGTATGTCTTGATTGTTCTTCTTATAACCTTATTTTTCTAAGTAGCGAAAAAGAATGATATTACCTGATAAAAAATTATCTTCTTAAAAATATTGAGATGTAATAAACTATAAAAGCTTTTGGTAATCTCTAGGATTTTTTCAAGTAAAAGTAATTGACAGCTCTGTTTTTTTAATGACCATAAAATGCATTTTTATCAACAGAAAAGAATGAATTATATATAAATCATTATCACTAGTAAATATGTCATGATGCGACATGGCTCAATATGTAAAGTTCTATATGTAACCTTATTCGTTCAAATCATTCTATGTGAATAATTATTTTTCTGTTTAATGGTTTTGTTTTCTTTGACTTGTTTATAGATATATTGTAAATCAAGAATATCATTATTGATCAACAGCACAAATTGTTTTTAATTTAACAAAAGGTATTATTAGATGAATTTTATTTATAGTATTCTCGATAAGAACTAGTCGAAAGTAAATTCAATGATATTATTCTACTTTTTCATGAAAAACTAGATATTTATTGAGTATAGTTATGAGAAAATTTCTTTTCTCTACATTTACTGAATTAATGGCAACATGAAAAATAACATAAAAATTAAGTAACCTATAATTATATTCAAAATGGCATATTGACAGTCATAATAACATTCTTGAAACATTACAAAACTATTCAAGAACGTATCACACATAGAGCTTGTGTCATTCGTTCAATTTGTGTACAATTATGCTTTTCTTCTATCCTAACAATGGAGCATTCTCAGGAGATCCATTCCATTTCCCACCATAGTTTACTAATATGTAGGACATCACTAGAGTACCGTAACCTGCAAAAGTTTTCTGCTCTCGCTTGACTTCGCTCGAGATAGCGACTTTTCAGTGCATTCTGACTGAAAGAGTAAGGTGACGAAAATTGAAAATAATATCAAATTTTTGTTTTCTATCTAATGTTGTTGAATAGAGTACATCTAGTTATCTATGCAAAAATTTCTTTTCAAATTTTTGGAAACAAATTTTTTCTGGCAATAATGAGAAGAAGACTAAATTGTGAATGTCATAATTCGAGTCGTCCATTATCACAGATCTCTACATTTTTTTTACTTTTTCAAACATTATGAGAGTTATTTCTTGATTCTGCAGATGAATTTGATTAAAAGAGCATTATGTGGATAGAGTTTTTAATCGTCATTGTCTACCAAATCAAAAACTAACTATTATAATATTCAAAAAAGTAAAAAGAAAAGATAGAGATCTGTGATAATGGACGACTCGAATCATGATGTTTAGAATTTATAGTCTTTTTTTCAATATTTTCAGGAAAAACTTGTCTCTCAAAGTCGGACAAGTAGGTTTCCATGGGTAACATGATGTAATTTATTCAACAACACTAAATAAATTAAAAACAAAAATTTGTCATCGTTTTTAATTTCCGGCGCCTTACTCTTGCAGTCAGAATCTGCTAAAAAGTCACTGTCTCGAGCAAATCTAAGTATGAGGAGAAAATCTTTTGAAATTTATACGACTCGAGTAATGTCATACATATTAGCAAAATACGAAGCCAAACAGAGCGTATGACCTGGGAATGTTCTCTCGTAAGTATCTTGTTTATATAGATCGTTTAGAGTGTAAGTATATGGATCGATTTAACTATTTTAGCATGAACTAGTATTTGTATTTGTTAATAGAATGGAAGATGGAATTTATCTTTTCTCTCAGTCAAGTATATGAATAGTTTTTTGTAACATTTAGATAAAAGAACACTTAAGAAGTTCTTGTTTTTATGGATCTATACGATAACTTCAATGAAGTCGCGATTATTTCCAGAAGAAAGATGTTTTTGATGTTTATATACAAATAGCAACAGTGAAGTTTGTTATAGGATTGAATCAAAACAAAAAAGCATTTCTTTTTTATTCTTTCTCCTCATTCTTTATTTTAAAGAATATAACTAATAGATTTAAATGTAGGTTGAATTATATTCTTTTTAATATTTGATATAAATGTATGAATAGTAGAAAGCAGAGTAAGTTAAGATTATTTTCGAAAATAAGTAATCATATATCAAAAAATTAGAAATCGAATATTTACATCAAGATTAAAATCAACGTTTGTATTTATTTCGATATTTAAATAGAATAAGGAGAGAATTCAAAAAATTCAATAATCTATATTTTTAACGAATAACTTGACTGATTGGTGTGCTTGTATTTGTCAAAAGTCAATATATATTAATGACTTTGACATCATAGATAAGAGCGTGAGACCATTTTATCGTTTTATGTTCCGAGTCAGTGATAGACAACTTCGAAGTATTCTTTTTCTTGTTCTTGAAGAAAAAGAAATAATATTGATTCAGTATCTTTCTCTTAATGACTGTATCTGACTCAAGGTATTAGGTCAGATATTAATAAGTATTAATAACACTTGTATGAGTGATTTATGATGTCTATAGTGCTAGTATCAAGTACGTTTATCTGTAAGGATCAATTTTCACTTGCTCTTTTAGAGCACATATTTTCCTACAAATTTGGTCGATCAATAGATTATTCTCTATTTGAGTTAGTAGCAATTGGTTAAGACGATTCGTTACCACTGCTAAATGTTTTCTTTTTATTCGATGTAGTATTCTGATTAGAATAATCAATATTTGTATCTATTTATTAATAGTTATTAAACAATGTCATCATCATTAATCGATACATATTCTTTGTCATCAATAGAAACAAATTCTTTACTTTTATCACATGTTCGTACAATAGTTAAATTTTACATATGGCCATTACTTGTAGTATTTGGTTTAACAGGTAATTGTGTATCAATAATTATTTTAACTCGACGACGTCTTATAAGAACAAGCACAAATAATTATTTAACCATCTTGGCTGGATTTGATTCATGTTATTTAATTTTTACACTTCTACTTAATTTTGGTTCACATCCAAAATTTGTTCATTATTCATTTACTCAAACATTTCTATATATTTTACGTCCATTAGCAGATTTTTCTTCAAATACAGCTACATGGTTAATTGTTTGTTTTACACTTGAACGTACATTAGCTGTAGCTAAACCAATATATGCTAAACGTACATGTTCAGTACGACGTTCACGTCATTTAATATGTACATTATTAATAATATGTTTTTTAATAACATTACCAAGATTTTTTGAAAAAAGTTTAGTACATAAAAATTATAATAATGCAATGATATCTAATTTAACAGAATTAAATAATTTATCTAAACAACACAAGTTTTTTCCTGATATTCACCGCTTATATTTAGTATTTATATGTATTGTTATTATATGGATACCACTGCTTTTAGTTTGTATATGTAATTCAATTCTTATATGGTAAGCTAAAGACAAAAAGTATCATCTTTTTTATTAGAGTGTTTTCATGTATGAATGACAATGTCTTTGCTTACTGGAATCATTCGGAAGGGAGGATATGTTTTTATACACGATAAATATACACCGGATTGGGAAAAATATAACATCGTACTACTCAATGATTTTTCTTAAACATGAGTAACAGATAATAATTAATAGTTTATTGAGAAGGACGAAATTATTTGTTTTTGAACAAAAATATTGCGAACTCCACTTTTTCGTTTTATATTGTTCGTCTTGAATAGAATTATATTTAAGCGTTTTTAGAGAGTTTTATTAATGTGATCATTAATTTAATATGAACGTTCGATGAGTCTTAGAATTTTTTAATTGATGAGTTAAAATCAAATAAAGATATTTTACTGTCCGATAATCGATGTAGAAATTCAGGATTCAATGAATCTTCATTCATTGTTCTATTGCTGAATGATAATTTTCTAGAAAAGTATATATACCATAGAAATATGATCGTCTGTTTTGAATCGGAGAAACACAAGTTCGTGGAGATCAATTCCTTTTCTATATTTTATTCATAAGAGTTACAAAGTACATCAATTGAGATATAACATGTATGAAAGTTACATGTTAGGTTTTTAATATCTTGTCATCACAACTAGAAAGAATCATTGAGGACTGTGAATCTTTTATTTCTATATGTTCCATCTTATTAACCATTTTGAGTATCTAGTCTAAAGCGCAAAAGTCTTTCCAGAAGGCAATTCTGAATACATGTTTAAAAAATTCTAGTCCTAACTAACTGCTTCTGTTTTGAATGTTTCATACTGTTTAAGTTCTCATACACATCTAACTGATAAGGAAATCTTTTCAAGTAATAAACTGTTTTTGAGCTCGGACTCTACTGATATGACCAATGCGAAAAGAATGAATGTCCTTAGACATTTCTTTCATAGTTATGATCATTTTATGTGAATTTTCGGTTATGACTTGGATGCACCAAGAAATAGAAATAGTCCTAATTTGATTTCTTGGTATGTGTATCTTGCCGTAGTTTAAGATGGCTGTAACTGTGAATTAACTCAAAAATTCAAATAAATTGTTCGAATTATTCTTTTAAAAGAAGCCCTAGTCTATATTCAGTTGTTTCTTTTAATAAAATTAGGTATGTTCATCGTTCACGTCATTTTGATAATGATCTTCAAGCCAAAAATGTCTATGGACCTTATCATAATTCGTCAGGTTCAATAAATAAATTAGAACATTCAAAAAATAACGAACATAAATCCCAATTAACATTATCATCATCATTAAAAAATCGACATACATTCCATTTACGTCGTCATTGTCGTTCAGTAATTCAAAAACGTCGCGTAACTATTATATTAATATTTTGTTTATTTGTTGCACTCTTATTATGGACACCCCAAAGTTTATCATTAACATATGAAACATTAATTGAAAGTTCTACAGAAATGTCACATGAACATCGAATTATTTTACTTATATTTAATAATTTTTCAAATTTATTTCTTTGTATTAATGCATCAACGGATTTTATATTATATTGTTTTTTATCTGAAAAATTTGCACGAACATGTAAACAAATTATTTTTCGTCAATGTTCAAATCATAATTTCATAAATGGACAACGTGCTCGTTTAGTATCACTTGATCGTACAGCATTTATTATACTAAATACATCAAAGAATTTCTATCAACAACAATTAGCAACTAATACAACTGATAAATATTATCTACAATTATATGATTTTTATCAGAATTCATTAAATTTTGAAAGTAATCAAAATGAAAAATGGACAAAGAAGTGTGTTCATCCAATAACAATAAATATCAAAAGTGATAATCATATATTTTATCAAAAAACTTTATTAAAAAATAAACAAAGACTACAATATACTAAATCATGTAAAACACAAATGAATATTATATCAAATCCAGCCTTAGATCATACAGATGAAAATGGTGTAAATAATGAAATTAATTATTCAATAAATAGTTTGGTAATGAAGTCGCCTAAACCATCTTGTTTAGAATCAGTATCAAATATGTAATAATATTTAAGTATTGTTGTTGCTTGTAAATAAATAATTTGTAACTTGAGATATCGCTTCTTTCAAAGAAACAAATTGTAAAATTGATTTTTTTTTCAAAAGTCTTGTTTGAATATTTTATGTATATGAGTTTTTCTAGTTGATAAACAATAAATTTTAACATAAATCGACTTGAATTTATTATTCACTTCTTTTATAATTAACTTCAAAAATATATGATAATCGAATATGCAATTAATGAGAAATCCTAGAAAAAAATATATATGGTGTTTTTCATAAAAATGCTATTGATTAAAGTTTTTTTTTCTTGAATAATTATGTATCGTAAGTACTCATGAGTAGAAGTATGAGCTATCGCTGATGTCAAGAAAACTCATCGAAGAAACAACATTCTCATATTATAGTCCACGAAGAAATATTATAAATTTAAAATTTTTCTTTCTCAAGTTTCATACATTGCTAACAAGGTACCTACAAAGCATGCAGACATTGCTAAAGCTACAGAAAAAAAAAGACGGAGCTCGAAACAAACACCATGCGGACAACAATGCTTTTCTGTACCTTGTGTAGGAAACAGTAGATTTCACGACTGAAATCTCTGCTGTTTTTTCCTTGGAACATCCATGATCACTTTCAGTGTTTTATCCAGGTTTTCTCCTCCGAAGAGAGTGAGCATCTATTCTTGGGAATCTTGGTTTTAATTATAATAGTGAATGATAATCATGTTGTATAATTAATTAAACTTATTATCAATTTTCTTTTTTATTCTTCTTGAAAATGATCAAGTTATGAGCTACCTTAAATTCATTAGCTAGCTAATTCCACAGATTTCTGTTTCAGTTAACACTGCAACTTCTTATGTTGTCGACGTCTAGAAGTGATACACTATTCAATGTACTCTTTGAACACTGTTAAGCAGTGACATCCATTGATTGTCGATCGTTATTCGTTGTGCAATAGTTGTGTAAATTTGTTCAGTCTGTCTGTCATGTTAGTAGAAGAGAGAATAGGTCATTCATTATCTTCCTTCTCATATTTACTCACTTATCATCAAGTAAATAAAGCAACCGATTTTTCTTTCCTTATTTCTTTACAACATGCCGGGACTTACTGATGAAATACTAACTGAAATTCGTGATGGTAATGAAAAGAAGACAAGGTTTTATTCAAAAAAATTGATTTTTTTTTGTACAGTCTTTAGTTTATATGATGATCGAGGAGATAATCATATACCAAAGCATTATTTAGGCGAAGCACTTCGAGCATTAGGGCTTAATCCAACTGAAGCCGAAATTCGTCTTCTTTTAGCTGATCTTAATCGTGTCGAACGTTTATCCATGCAACAATTTCAAGTTATTTTTGAACGACTTAATCGACAAAAAGATTATGTTGTACCTGCAGAAGAATTTATTGATGGTTTACGTGTTTTCGATAAAGACGGAAATGGTTTAATACCGGCAACAGAATTACGTCATTTACTTACTACATTAGGTATGAAATAATTCTAAATAAAAAAAAGATGTTTATTAATGGATTTAATATATATATATTTGTAGGTGAACGATTAACAGATGATGAAGTTGAACAACTTATTTCGGAATTTGAAGATAAAAAAGGAATGATTATGTATGAAGATTTTATTAAAGCAGTGCTTCAACGTTAAAATGAAGAATGAAAAAAAAAGAACTTAATTATCTTTTTTCATAATAATAATATATCTTTTATTATTGCTTGCAACTATCTATAAGTTTTGAACTGTATCTTTTACATTAAATAAACATACTTTCTTTTTTGAAAAAAGCTTTTATACAAGATGTCCGAAAAGTTCGAATGAAGGTTACGTGAATAGCGCTAAAGGATAATTCACCTCTTTTTTTATCCTTTCTAATTCTTGAAGAGGGTATAATCAATGATAATGAGACACATGTTCGATTCAAATTTTTACTGTAGTACATCAGGATGACATGGTACTTATGGAAATTAGAATGAAGACGATGAACATTCATATCAAGATAAATGATGTATAGTTTCATCTTCTAAAATATTACCAGTGCTTTCATTCTAATAAATCATTATTATCAATACTTGATTCATCAATTGTACATCTTGATTATTCAATTCTTTTACATTCTATTGACGAATTAAATCATCAAACAAATATAAGTAAACTTGGTGTTGAAATTGAACGTTGAACAATTAAGAATTCTTCAGATGATTGTACATATTCAATCAATACGATCTTGATGAAAAATGTCATAATGATTAATGTATTCTTGCGATACATGATAAATCTCATTTGAAAAGCTTTTGCTTTTGTCGATTGTTTCGGCGCAGATGTATCTGCATCAAATTTCATTGAAATATGTGCAAAAGGAACATGTTCGCTTTGGATCAATTGTATTTAACTCTAAATGATGAAACAAATTCATTAAATTAAAGAAATAAATTATTTCAATCTATTCAAGAAAATTATTTGATTATCTTTGAAACTTTATAAATGAGAAATTGACGAAAACATTGAATCGGTTTTGAATTAATCATGATGAAAAAAAAATTTGATGCGAAACTTCTTCAAAATAAAATTGTAGACATCTTTTGTACTATACTCACAAAGAAACATTTCCAAGTGTCAATTCCCTTTTGATTTCGAACTCGGTACATATGATAGATCTTAATCAACTATGCCAACGAAAAAGAACAGTTCATGTTGATGATCTGTTTCTGATAAGATATCAAACGTTTTTAGTCAATTTTCGTTGTAGGATCCCACTTTTGTAGTCAGATTATATTTTTTATACAAGCTTTCGTAGTTGAGGGTTTTAGCTGGACAAAGTCTCAGATCGAAATTCAAAAAAGGAAGTCCGACAACGAAAACTCACTAAAAACGTTTGATATTTCCTCATTTATTTATTTATTTTTGGTAGACATACAATGTGCACCACAAAATTCACAGGCTGATTCTGACGTTGTTTGTCAAAGTTCCATTCTTCATCAATGATGCACTGGTGATTTCGATTAAAATAGGTCATCGTTGTGGAGTTTGCAATCATTGTTCGAGAAGCTATTAATGGCTGTTTAAAGTATGCGTAACATCGCATTGCTGTCGTTGAATCTAATTTTGTTTAATCAATGTTTCAGTTTTAACATCAGAAGGAAGCTACATGGATTTAGATCTGAAGAATATGATTTTGGACGACAACTTCCTTGAAAAACCAGAATGTTCATGGCCTTACGTTTTGATAGTGAAAATTTATACTAGACAACTATTGACAGGCTTACATCTGTCTACTAGATTCCAATGGCATGAACTTCGTTAAGCTACATTGTGTAACTGAAAGGACGTAACGCACTTATCTGAACTTCTGTTTCGATGAGTTTTGGCTACACTCGGATTTTCTTATAACATTCAACTGATGGTGGATGTTGGTGTGGGCGTCCACACCCACACTCTTTGAAGAGATTTGTTTGCTTAAACTAATTCAATTTGGCATTTATTTTCTGGCCATATAAAATTGTGGACTAACAAATATTTTGACTAATGGAAAAGCCAGAGATACTCCTTCAAAAAAGTCATGTTCAAATGGATATGTATCGTACAATATCAAATCAATACCAAATTGAAAATGATAACCAGGGGTGTGGGTGGGTGTGGATGTGGGTGTGGGGTATGGGTGTGTGGGTGTGGATGTTTATTGTATCATCATATTCACACCCACATCCTCCTATTCTGCTTATATTTCTCTACAATTCTATGCACTCGAACACGATGTGAATGAGTGTTGCTGATTACTCGATAACACAAATTCTGTTCAGAACGCTTTATACTCGGAGTATAGTCTCGTGTTCCGACGTACGATTACAAATCATTAGACAGCTACCCCTAACTTTATCCGATGCAACTCGAACAGAATTCTGTATAGTATTCTGGGTGTTTTTTTTAAATTCTTCGTTAGAACTTCTGTTTCTGTTAGGGATAGACAAGCATTTTTTTAAATTCTTCACTAGAGTTTTTTTCCTGTTAGTACTATGGTTATTCGAAGTTTGTAATCTGTTACTCGTGACAGAATTCTGTTTTAATTCTGCTAGTTTTTTTAAATTCGTCGATAGAGAGTGACCATGACTGTGTGTTAACTTTTGGTGATCTTGTTTATCTTCTACTATTAGGAAGAGAATTTTGTGAAAATTCAGCTGTGATTTTTGAATTCCTTGCAGAAATCTGTTGTTTGACGGGGTGATAATCTAATGTTGTACGTAGTACACTATTTTCTAATGGGAGTTTATCTACATGAGCTAATCCATTGTCCACCGATCGGATTTTTTAAATTCTGAATTCTGTTTGGTAGGCGTTTTGTAACCTCTTTCTAACATAAGATTTGTACTTTCGTCAATTAGTCAAAAGACTTATAACTACAGAAGATCCGTTTTACATTTGTACATTCTGGTCCTTTATACCACATCTCAATATGTGATGTTTTGTACCACAACTTAAATACGTAGTACTTTGAACCATAGCTGTACATCATGGTCCTTCGAATCATATCAGTCACGTGATATGCGTGTTACACACAGAGAGAGACAGACAGACACAGATGAATTTCCGTATCTAGACCCTATCCTTTCAGCCTAGGAAATTTCTGACAAATTTATATGGTAGTAGCTGTGGTTCCAATGTCCCAAAGAAGTTGTGTCGAAGCAGTGAATTTTGCGTGTTTTCATTTTGATTCGTTTTGCGAAATTATTACAACTAATAGAAAAGTGTTTTTCAATCTATTATCAGTAAGCGCGATTTGTAAGAAACAAAATTCAATTAGCTAACTTGTATCAAGTAGTTTTTAAAAAAGCACATTTCTTTTAAAACTTAAAGTTTTACATGTGAAAAACTACGAGTCAATTCTCAATGACATGATTATTATATAACACTCAGAAAAAATGTAACATGTACATAATCGTATGCTGATAAAAACCAACGTATACCTAGTTCTAGACAAACGGCATGCAGT